GTATCGATAAATGGCTCCTTTTCAGATTTGTCTAGGGTCATGAGTGGTGTGCCTCCGGGTTCTGTGCTAGGCCACATACTATTCAACCTGTTTATTAACGACATCGGGGAGGGCGTGAATAGCCATGTTTCCGTGTTTGCTGATGATACTAAAATTGGGAGGGTAATGTACATAGACTTAGACACTATAACACTACAAGAGGACCTGGATAGAATGGAGGAGTGGGCAACTATATGGCAGATGAGGTTTAATGTTGGTAAATGTAAAGTGATGCACTTTGGGGTTTAAAAAAGGCAAGCAGAATACACATTAATGGGAACTTTTTCAGACATGGAAAAAGATTTGGGGGTCATAGTAGACCACAGATTGAACAATAGCTTGCAATCCCAGGCTACGGTAAACAAAGCGAGAAGAGTACTGTCTTGTATTAAAAAGAAATCTACTGTAGAGACAAATCTATAATTTTGCCACTGTATAGATCACTTGTTCGGCCTCAGCTGGAGTATGCGGTCCAGTTTTGGCACCAATACACAGGAAGGATGCCCTGGAGCTGGAGAGAGTCCAGAAAAGGGCAACAAAACTAAATAAGGGGATGGAGTAACAAAGCTATGAGGCAAGGTTACTTAATCTAAACATGTTCACGCTGAAAGTGAGGAGATTAAGGGGGGACATGATTTTGATGTACAAGATGTTCAATGGGGATAGCAACATCAGCAATAAACTTTTTACTATAAACTCCATAACAAGGACTAGAGGCCGCCACCTAAAACTGGTGGAGAAAAGATTTAACCAAAAGGGACGTAGGGGCTTCTTCTCAGTTAGAGCGATTAGGGTCTGGAACTCGCTGCCACAAGCAGTAGTATCCGCTGAGAGTGTTGAATCATTCAAAAAAACATTTGGAAAACTTCCTCAGAGACTGCAACATACAGGGGTACAGATACTCTTAAAGACAAGAACACACAGGGACTCGTACACACGCATACACATGCAGAATCCCAGACATACACGCAATAGGTTGAACTTGATGGACCTGTGTCTTTATTCAACCTCAAATACTATGTAACAATATTAATCTTGTATAATAATAATAATTTTATATTCTTTTCTTTTCTTTTTATATTTATGTAAGTAAAGGTGTGACTATTCCTTGACTGGTAGACATATAAAAGGAATAATTAAATTTGAAATGTGAAAGAAACAATTGTGTCTGTAAAAGTAACCTTGGGACATTCTGTGTTGATGTATTTGATATTTACCATATATTAGAAATATGTAAAAGGGCCACATACTTCTTTGCAGTGCATTAACTAGCATGATGTTATGCATTAACATACAATGCATTAAGATAGCCCGTTCAAAATAAATGGGCTGCCAATGTATCATAACATGTTAAATAAAGCACATAACCCTTTTTTTCTAATGCAATGCACTACTGTGTGCTGCCCTGCCATTAAGAATGTATGACTCAGCAACACATTATGTTACATGTTACCGCACATTGTGGCTATGTGCCTGTGACTGCAATTGGGAGTGTAAATGCCCTCCCCCCCCCAGAATCTGTTAAGTTTTCTTGCTGTCTGATGCTTTATTGGGGAAATTCCCCTTCACCTCTTGTTCCTATGGCAACAGGACAAGAAATGAGAGTGTAGATGCCACCAGTAGAGGAAAACACAGAAGAAAAAAAACTGAACGATTTTAATAATCAAGGTGCAGCTGTTGGTGTGTTTGAGTTATCCCATGACCTCCTGTGCATTGACATTTTGCCAGTGGGGCATAAAGTGAGGGCCGGATTCCCCACAAGGCCACCGAGGCCCGGCCTTGGGGCGGCAGGGAGCAGAAGGGCAGCAGTGATTTTAAATCTCCTGAGGCCCGGGACATGCAGTTTTTGGTGCCAGGCGGTAATTTGTTTTCTACATTTAGCCCTGCTTGTGCAAAGTAGGGCTAAATGTAGAAAACAAATTACCGCCTGAGGAACGGGCAAGCCACTTGTTTGTTTACAAGTGATCTTGGCGAAGACTGCAGCCGGTCTGTCCTCCCCTCGCTGCCCCACCCCCCTCAGCTACCTCTCTCCATGCTGGCTCCGTCCTCCCGGTCCGTCCTCCTGGCCCGTCCTCCCGGCTCTCTGTCCTCTCCTCGCTGCCAAGTATCTCTCCTTGCTGGCCGCCTCATGGATGGAGAGCAGGGAGCAGAGCACCAGGCTTAAAACTAACCTTTTCACTCAGTGTAAACAGTGAGTGGTGAGAGCTGCCTTCCCCTCACAGCTGTCACAGGAGTTCCAAGACAGTGCTGTGCTAGAACTCCTGTATTGGAGGAGAGCCTGTCAAGAGAACCTGTCACCTCTAAATGCTATCACGCAGGGGCTTGTTATCTCCTGTGTGATAGCAATAAAGTTAAGTAAAAAAATACAAAACTAATTACATAAATACAAATTTAAAAAAAATAAAGTTAAAAAAATACATAAAAAGTAAAAAATATAAACAAAAATATAAAAAATAAG